TTAGCTTATTTTTTTGTATTCCATAATATTTTGTTTCTTTACATAATAAATGAGCAAGTCAGATTGTTTACAAAGAAGAAGTTGTGATAATTAAAGTTTTTTGTTGTGTAGCCTAGAATATAACTCTATGTGTAAAGCTTGCTTTGCATTATTGCTAACAAAATCAAAATGTTTTGTGGTTAGTGGTTTGATTATATTGTGCTCAATGAGATTATGTATTTGTAAGAGAAGATCAATACACATGTAGATTATCAATTTAAAACAACAATTTGTATGGTTGAATAAAAAGAAACCGAAAATACAAAAATAAAAACAAAAACCGACAATGTGATTTTTACTTTTTGAAAACTAAAATAGTCGATTAAGTTTTGATTTATATACCTTAATAATTGGAAAAAAAAACTGAATAGACCCATAACCCAAAAAAACGAATCAAAAAAAAATACGAGCCAAAACTGAAATCGTTTGATGATAACTAATTCATTATATTTTATTACATATTTAATTACTTTTTATTATTTTTATAAGATTTTCCAAACTCACCCCATCTAATTAATTTTTTTACCAATTTTGTAATACTATCTTAGTACAAAATGTTTAATTATTTTGCAACAAAATTAAAATAAAAATGTGATTGCAGTAGACTTTATAAAAGACAAATACAAGTAGTTTTATATGTTGATTAAAGTTTTATATAATACTTATGTTTATTGTTTAAGTGTTTAATTAATTAAGTGAAAGCACGTATTAACTTCATATGTATGTGTTCCCATGTCTTGTATTTCTATCGCATATCATGCATTCTTTTGCCTATGGATTAGTGAGTCTATACATCATGGTCGTTGGCACATTGATAACTTAATAATAGTATGTTTATAGTTTTTGCATAAATCTCAAGTTGATGTTTCCATCACTCAAAAGGATTAACCTGAGACTAATAATAATAATGTTTAGCTTAAATGAGAAGGGTTTATATACCGTATTTTCTGTGGTTCTCAAATGTTATTTGGGGATGGAATTCGTATTATATATTAATAAATCCGGTTAACTATTATTTTATTGAACAAATGTTTTACAACAATTTATTCAAGAAAATTAAAGCACATGCTCATAACTATTTATATATTCTCAAGTTTTTCGGTTTTACAAATACTGTAAACATACATTCGTGACCTATCTTTTTTTGTTTCAAACTCAACCAAAATGAAACAAATTGAACCGTATGGAACAACCAAAAATTAATCATATTGAAGAACCAAATTGTCTCATTAAAAAAAAACTATACATTTATGTTCGTTTCGGCCAAAAGTGCACATCCGTCCATGTTCATCCCTAACAATTTGTGTTCCGCTGCATTGCCATATATTTCTCTTATTTCTATAATTCTCTCAAAATACAATGGCCATTTTACCCCTACATATTATTAATACAATTTTCAATAATATTTTTTTACTAATTACCAAAACTAACTTAACTAAAGTAAATGATTGGTTGAGAATCGTTCTCACGTTCTCATTTTATTTAGTGATTTTATTTGAGCCATCCCCTATACACACACACACACACACTAGTTGTGTAACCGCGCAATGCAGCGGGACACAAATTGTTAGGGATGAACATGGATTGATGTGTGCTTTTAGCCGAAACGAACATAAATGTAGAGTTTTTTTTTTAATAATACAAATTGGTTCTTCAATATGATTAATTTTTGGTTGTTCCATATGGTTCAATTTCTTTCATTTTCGTTGAGTTTGAAACAAAAAAAGATAGGTCACGATTGTTTGTTTAGAGTATTTGTAAAAGTGAAAAACTTGAGAATATATAAATAGTTATGAGCTAATGAGCATGTGCTTTAATTTTCTTCAATAAATTGTTCTAAAACATTTGTTCAATAAAATAATAGTTAACCGGATTTATGAATATATAATACGAATTTCATCACCAAATAACATTTGAGAACCACATAAAATACGATATATAAACCCTTATCATTTAAGCTAAACATTATTATTATTAGTCTTAGGTTGATCCTTTTGAGTGATGGAAACATCAACTTGAGATTTATGCAAAAACTATAAACATACTATTATTAAGTTATCAATGTGCCAACGACCATGAATGTATAGACTCACTAATCCATAGGCAAAAGAATGCATGATATGCGATAGAAATACAAGACATGAGAACGCATACATATGAAGTTAATAGGTGCTTTCACTTAATTAATTAAACACTTAAACAATAGACCTAAGTATTATATAAAACTTTAATCAACATATAAAACTACTTGTATTTGTCTTTTATAAAGTCTACTGCAATCACATTTTTATTTTAATTTTGTTGCAAAATAATTAAACATTTTGTACTAAGATAGTATTACAAAACTGGCAAAAAAAATTAATTAGATTGGGTGAGTTTGGAAAATCTTACAAAAATAATAAAAAGTAATTAAATATTTAATAAAATATAATTAATTAGTTATCATCAAACGATTTCAGTTTTGGCACGTATTTTTTTTTTTTTTGATTCGTTTTTTTTTGGGTTATGGGTCGATTCAGTTCTTTTTCCAATTATTAAGGTATAAAAATCAAAACTTAATCGACTATTTTAGTTTTCAAAAAGTAAAAATCACATTGTCGGTTTTTGTTTATATTTTTGTTTTCTCGGTTTCTTTTTATTCAACCATACAAATTGTTGTTTTAAATTGATAATCTACTTGTGTATTGACCTTCTCTTACAAATACACTATCTCATTGAGCAAAATATAATCAAACCACTAACCACAAAACATTTTGATTTTGTCAGCAATAATGCAAAGCAAGCTTTACACATAGAATTATATTCTAGGCTACATAACAAAAATTAATTATCACAACAACTTCTGCTTTGTAAACAATCTGACTTGCTCATTTAGTATGTAAATAAGCAAAATATTATGGAATAAAAAATAAAAGCTAAAATTATAACAAAAACTTATGTATCCTACCCTACAACCATATATGGAATTTCAACCAGAAAATGAAGTATCTTTCATTCTTTTTCTTATGTTAAAATATATGATTCATAATTGTTTTAACTTTTATTCATATCTAGCCTTTTTAACATTTAAATACTTATTTTTGTTTTAAGTTAACAAGTATATTTAATAAAATGAAAAAAAAATTATTATACATATATAGTGATCTTGAACAAGTCTACCTTTCTTATACTCTTTTTATTTTTATTAATATTTAAATTATAAAAAATAAACAGATACGGAGTATTTCTAAACTGAAAACTCATGTCAAAACATTTTTTTTACTAGAATTGATAATATCATAAAACTATTATCATAGAAATAAATAGGCACACAATTATTAAAAAGTAGATCTTGAAAAAGAAAGCATATTATCGTTATGCATGAAAATGAAGTATTAAAAAGGAATAAACATGCATACACACAATTAAAAATGGGATTATACATTGCTCTTATATAAACTTAATAAATAAATTTCCTCTATGGTTATGTATTAGAGGGACATGGTTATGATTAATACATACATTAGTAAAACCTATGACAATAAAGATGAAAAACAAGAACTCTTTATAGCCACAAAAAGGTTTATATTCCATATAAATTTCTTGAAAACTGAATGCGCGGACACACATACACACACAAAAAAAAAGAGATTTTGACAAGTTAATGAGCTTAAATGCCAATAATATTATTCCTATCGAACACAATGACACATGAAATTAAATTTGAACTCTACTTGAGATTCATATATAAAAAAATTATAATAGTTTGAATAATATCTCAACAAAAATAAAAATGATGATTAATAAAATAATAAAATAATGAATATGCCATGTAACCTCATTTTTGTTTCTAGTTGTTGCATGAAATGGTAGGAGAGTCTTGTAATATTGCAATGTTTGCTTGTAGATAAAAGAAGGAGATAGTAATTAATGAGAAACGAGATGGTAAACCATGGGGGCAAAGTTCCATCTAGAGAGGAATATAGAGACATAGTTACGACGATGCCCTGCATTCTTGATTTTAATGAGGGCCTAGATAGATGTGATTATTTATTTGAGAATGTATGAGAATTCGGCATCTAAAAAAAATAAGATAAGCGAATTCAATAATTCAAAATTAATTCCCATAATTACCAATCCATGGTATTCGAGTTTAGCAAATATTAATGGTCTGTTTATGTATATTTCTATATCTAGCTTACATTTAATAAATATGTTTTTAAAATTGATTTCCACAATCACCTCCTTAATTCATGGTGTAAGTTGTATTTGGTAAGGATTGATGGTTTGGTTTTCCAAACAAAGATTAGTAGTAATTTACATTAGATAATTGTAATTAGTAGTAATTTACATTAGATAATTGTAATTGTTGCTTTAAAGATTGTACCTCTTAAAGTTTTCAAAAAATGTTTAATATGCTTAACAATATAGTAAATATATATATATATATATATATATATATATATATATATATATATATATATAGAGAGAGAGAGAGAGAGAGAGAGAGCTAGGTTTAAATGTTTTCAGCAACTATTGTGTGCATGAATGCACCAATAAAAATTTAGGAAAAAAAAATCATTAATAATAAATATAGGGGTATAATAGTAATCTATACTATAATTAATAACGGTAAATTGATAAAATCAAATAATATCCCCCTTTAAATTAGGATATTAGTTTTAAAATCTCACCCCCACTAGATTAGGGTTTTACGCTCCCTCTTTATCTCATAGTACCCACACACACATAAACGATAGATGATCTGAAATCGAATTACATAAATGAATTGTCTACTCTTCAAAACTTCTTTAAAGAGACTCACTAATCTTGCTTCCCTTACATGTAGCTTCAACTTCTTCAATAGAGACCCGATAGAACCACTTTTCTTAATTTTAGTCATAACAGGTGATGATCCACCTTCCGTCTTAGGCCTCCACACGTAGAAAGTTCCAGAAGCATGAATCTCATTATCCTTTGATTTACCATATAATCACCTTCCAATTCGCCGGCTTCTGATGATGAACACGAAGAAGATTCTTCTGGTTCATCAATGAACAGCTTCCGTAATGAATCGGTGATAGAATCAGAAGCATGAATGTCATTATCCATTGATTTAACTTCATCCTTGATGAGAAGATCGCGATTGAAAAAGGAAAAACAGTCCAGCCTCGCGAATCGATCTCTTTTGCTGAAACTCCTTCTTCACTTAAATCCAACGAGAATCTAAAATCGTCTTCATCGGAATCCCCAAATTTGTGAAATTGACCGGCCTGTTCTTCACGTATGACTTTGGCGATAGCCATGGGTGTGTTCTTCGATTTATGAGAGATTCTGGAATGGTGTGCAGTGGGAGATTGCACCTCATGAACTCCTTGTACCAAGTGGTTATGCAGTTTCTATGTTCTTGATCAATCACATAGTTCTTGCTCTTTCTGAAGCAGGAATCTTATACTAGGTTCTTCCATGGAATTTTGATTCTTGTCTTGTTGTGTTTTTTAATCATTAAGCTGATATTATATCAAAAAATACATTTTTATTTGCTAATTTTCTAATATGCAGATGCAACTAAGTGAGAATTCACAGCCGATACGGATCGAGTACACACCAATTCAAGATTCTAGCACAACCATGTTCATCAAATCTGGTGTTATATCACATAATACGGAGTGAGTAAGATCAAGTAATTTTATTTTCAAACCAATAAATTAATTAGATCAAATTCTTATTATAAAATGTGAATACAGGAGGATCTATTTCTGCACAAAAAATGGTCTGCTATTGGAACTTACTGAGGCTGATCCTCTAAGGTTAACTTTTTTTTTCTTTTTTTTTTTTAAATCTGAAAAGGGTATTTATGTCTTTTCACAAGTTGCAAAGTGCTAAAGCAGACAAAACATAATCAATAATCAAATTGAAGTATATATTATGAGTAAGTAATAAAATACATGTAACACAATAAAGTATTATTAAGGAACTTATTATTTTAAATATTATTTTTTACACTCAGATGCCAAAATATTTTACGTTATTCTTCTTCTAAAAGTTAAGAACCAACTCAAACATGAAAGAAAATAGTCCATTGGCCTGCAAAATTTCAATAAGCTATTTTAGTTTAGCTTTGAGCCATGTTAAAAATACTCGAACAGTTTCATAACCAAGTTAGCTAGAATTATCGGACCAAATAATGGAAACAAAACCATTGGATGTCAGGGTGTTGCTATGGCATGGTCCTGCTATTGCCTGAGATAGGAAAAGTAAGCAATAAAAAATAAAATTATGCAGAAACCGAACGAATAAATGGTCTAAAATTGCAAATACAATCAAGCATTCAAAAGTAAAATTATGCCAAAAGTGAAGCAATAAAGGGTATATGAGTAACTTTACATGATCATGTCAATAAAATTAAAACAAAAATGTACCTTGGTGGGCTTGATCATGGTTCATTAAAGGCAACTAACAACATGAGAAGTAATGTCTCATGATGTAAGTATGGTTCGGGTCGTTTTTGAAATTATGACGAAATTTGGCTCACGACGTGAGAAGTAATGGCTCATGTCGTGAGAACTAGGTGCTGGCAGATTGCATTCCTTCTACAAATCTTATGTATGTGATCTTTATTTTAACTCGTAACTTATTAAGACTTGTTTTAAGACCTATTTTGAAGGAATTCTTTCTTCTCTCTACTCTGTCTTCATACATGATTGTTACCCCACACTAATCAAAGATTAGGGTCTTTGATTCTTTTCTCTAACGCTATTGGCTTCTCTCCTATGCTTTTTCTTTTTCTCTCGACGCGAAATGATTCTACGAACATACAAACCGTTGGTTGTACTAAAAGTTTATTGATTTGGATTTAATTTCTTTTCATTTTTTTGGAAAAAAAATATGAAATAGGACAAAATTGATTTTTTTAGAATTTGTTTTTTTAGATTTAAAATAAGTATGAGTAAAAATGTTTTTCTATATTCCATTAATAAGAAAAATAAAAAATTGAATATTTCTTTGTTTTTTAGTAACTGATCCTAAATTCAAGGGAATTTTATTGAATTTTATTTTAATTAAAACATACAGTTACTAATATACTCTTATATATTGATTGTTCCAGAACTTTTCTTGCGTTCTCAACCTTTTAGGTGTTCTCATTTAATCTTTTCCCTATATTTTTAATATGAGGAAAGTTATAATTATAATGGGGCAACATTATCTAAAAATAAATACTCGAAAAATATTTCGAGGGAAAAAATCAGGATAATTAAAAAAATTATTTATGGAAATACAAATTTAAATTGGTTGAAATTATGGACGAAATTAATGACGATTAAGTTGGTAGGTTACTATTGAATCCGATTTTGGAAAGTTTAAATTTGATAAATAAAAAAAAACGCGTAAATTATCAAAAATAAAAAATTGATAATGACTTGAGAGGCTAATGTACTTTTGCTTTTGGTTACTAAACTATTTTTCATGCTTTATTAACCCGTGAACTTATTGAAATTGTACATTATACCATTATGACCAGTAATAGTGGGTTTTCCGGTCAGCTTCTGTGGCAACATTTTCGGCATTCCTTATCTTCGGCTACACTTTTAATCTAGGTTTTATTGAAGGAATTAGACACAGAATTCAGAAAATGAACTCACAAACCACACCCAACTATATGTTCTTTGTGTTCGTGTGAAAATTCAAAGCTGATGAAGATGAACATGAACATGAACACATGAAAATAAACTCACAAATCGTAACCTCTGAGCTACAAACCAATGTCGGAACAAGCGACGGTAAACCTTTTTTAGAATGTTGTCGTCTTCTCCGGAACACCGCCTTTCTTCCTTCAGATTTTCTACAAAACCAAGCTCCGATTTGCAAACCCTAACACCTATGGTTCGGATGTGGATTTTAAGGGAAAAGTTTTCAAATGCTCTTTCATATTCATCTCGCTCATCGATGACAGAGCTGTAACTCTTTCGATTTCGAAGATTCATTTCATATTTCGAGCTTCCTTTTAGATCCATACCCATCGATTTAGGGATTTTTGGGTTCTACACACATGATGAACACATGAACAAGTTATTGGTTCGTTTTTCAGATTCAAGATCGTTTTTCATTTGTTCGTATTCCAACTTTGATTTTTTTATTCGGTGACAAGAACGATGAGGACATCAGATATGTGTTTTGTTTCAGAGATGGGTTTTGATGAACTACCATTAAAACCCATAAAACCTTAAAAATCTAATATTGGGTTTTATGAACCACGATTGGATCTTTTAAGAGTTGTGCTCACACCAAAACTTTTCTGAAAATCGTTCACATAAGCATACAAGTACATCACATTTTTGGTCTTATAGCAGACCATCAGAGTCCTTATCTTGTTTGAGTTCATCCAATTTATGGTTTTTGAGTTGAGCGCATCCGAACCTATGAAACAACCCCAAATGATGGTGATCGGAAAATCATACTTGGCTGGAAACCACTTCTGAAACCGGCGAAACCCACAATTATCGGTCATAATGGTATGATGTAACGTTTCAACAAGTTTAAGGGTTAATAAAACACAAAAAATAATTTAGTGACCAAATAGGACCAAAAGCTAAATTACTTTACCCTCTCAAGTCATTATCCCAATAAAAAATTTATGAATATAAGGAAAATAAAAAATTAAAATTTGATAAAGAAACGACTATGAAATAAATGCTTGAAATATTTTTAGAGTGAAAAACTTGGGATCATTAAAAAAATTTGTATAAGGAAAATACAAATTTAAATTGGGTGAAATTATACATGAGATTAATGACGATTAAATTGGTAGGTTACTATCGGAATCCCTCAAACTAAGGCTCTCATACCAACTTGATTTTTGATATAATGAAAACACCTATTTATCTTATATTCAAACATTTAAAACTATTTCATAATAAAACAGTTATCAGAATACAATTCCCAAAATCACAAGGTCACGGAAAAACATGGGTTTATGCGCTGTAATTAAGTCAGACCCTTCCTTTTGGAACCAGAAGTACGTGAAAACATGAAAAATAAACAATAAGCACAATGCTTAGTAAGTTTCCCAAAATACCACATACCATACATACAATAGAGAATGGAATGTGACAGCCATAGTCTTGCCATTATGTCACGAACCATATCATGGTCTTTCCTTGCCAAGTGAGGGCCATAACACTAGGTCTTACAGACATGTGCCAAGAGCCACCACTTGGTATTCCATGAAAGCATCACAAAGAAAATAAGCATACATTCCACAACTAACAATCTACTTAACTATCAGTGTCCTAACCCTGGTCTTGCATACATATTTTCTAGGAGCCACCTCTGGGTGTTTCATACAATGCCAAGGGCCACCCCTTGGTCTTTCAACAACACATAATCCAACAGGCCTACATTAGTGCGTTCGACCCATAGATACAATGAGGAGACTCACCTCATACAGCTGAAACCCACAGATAAATCTCCAGTTGTAGATCCGCTAAAATCCCCTACGCTGTCAATCACAAAATAACATCCAATTAACAATTTGATCACGAATCACACTAAGAGTCCAAATTAGGCTTAAAGACTTGTTTTACCCTTACCTAAACTTAGCCTAAGGCCAAAGCCCAATCCACTTACCCAAAATCCAAATTGTAATATAATCACCCAAAGCCCAAATATGGCCCAATTTGCTATATTGGGCCCAAAACCCATCATAGGCCTAATCCGAGAAGGCCTAATATCCTAAAATGCCCAAAATATCCATTTTATACTCCAGTCAAACTTTTAGCCAATGGTCAATAGTCAAAAGGTCAGCAAATCAAGGGAGCTAAAACAGACTGAGTACGCCCCGTGTACTCAGTTGGTACGCCCAACATACACCGAGTTGGCTTAGTACGCGCTACATACCAGGATGTATGGCTCTTGTATGCATACTGCTCACAATCCACTTAGAAAATATCTTAATCCCCTAAGCCAAAGGATCCAATACTCCGAACTTGTTCCAAATCATGCCTTAATCCATAAAGTTGTTGACATTGAGCTTGTGCATGGCTCAAAGGTCCCAAATCCAAGTCAAATCTTGATAAATTCAACAACGGAACTAACACTCATGCATCGGTTGATATTATCCCCCACGATCACATTTTTATGTATTTTGGGATACCTAAAACGCCCAGATCTAAGGACCGAACTCTTGAGGCAAACTCATTCTCATAAAGGCAAACCAAAGAGACCACAATGTACCACAAACCACCCCAAACTAGATCCACTCAAAAGAGATGACAAGATTAATGTGTTTTACCTTTAATAGGTTGCA